TGTGTGTGTGTGTGTGTGTGTGTGTGTGTGTGTGTGTGTTTGTTTCCTGGCTGTTGTGTCGCTCGTTTTTGTGCCTCACATCTGATGATGTCATCCTCCTCCATCCTCTTCCAGGTCATCATGGGAAACGCAGACAGCCACAGCAGCTTCGTCTCCCCTGCCAAGCCCTCGTGCTCCTTCAGGTTTTCCTCCAGGAGGGAGGAGGTGACATCGGCTCGCAGCTGGTGGAGGAGCAGCCAGGGAGGCTGCAGGAGCCGAGGGAAAAGCTACCTGAACCACCCAATGGCCAGCTCACCCTACACCTCATGGCGTTACGAACCAGCCCCTAAAGCGGCCCGAGGAGGCGCCAAGCTGAGAGGGGGGTCTCCTCAGAGGCTCTGCAGGGGGGAGTTTGGGGGGGGTGAGCGGGCGTCTCTGGAAAGCAGCGGCAGCCCGAAGGTGCTGCTCAGCAAAGATGGCAGCATGAGGGTGGAGTTCACCAAAGCTCGGGTGGAGCCAGAGAGTCTGAGTGGGCTCCCCGCCATCACTGCCGCAGCGACCACCACCACGAGCGCAGAGGTGTCACTGCGCACCAGCAACGGCAGCTCGCTCAGCTCCGATGGCTCTTGGTACGACTCGCCATGGGGGAACAGCGAGCTGACGGATAACGTGTTTGTGTGCAGGCAGAACGCGGACAACAGCAGCGGCTACACCACTGCCACCAGCAGCAGCGGCTACAACACCTTCTTCTCCGCTCAGGGTGAGGACATCTCACCTGGATTTAGCTCCAGCCTCCTCTTCCCCACCACAGAGACTAATGTATTCGCCGCCGCAACTGCAGGTTACAACACCTGCTCCTCTGGCCGGACGGAGGATAGCGGCATTGGAGACTCGGAGCTCCTGCAGCCGGACCTCACGGATTTCAGCCTGATTTCAGCTCCTGGGGTTTACAGCAGTCACAACACGCTGCCCGCCTTCCCCACCGACGCTGGGACCCCCGCCGGGGAGGCAGCGCTGCTGGATGATGTCACACAGAAAGAGGAGGGATCAGCCGGTGATATGGAGGAGCATTACTCCTCCTGCACGCTGCCCTGCCGAAATGTGGAGTCTGCGAGCGCTGCCTCTGCCAGGAATAACCGAAAAGACTTCCTGAAGAGCCGAATCAGACGTCTGAGCGACTGGACAGGAAGTCTGAGCAGGAAGAAGAGGAGGATCCAGGTGAGAAACAATAAGATGATGAAGTCATGCTGTGGGCGGAGCTCAGTGGTTTGCCACCTGCTGATGATGGACAAAATGACATCATTTTTTGTTTTCTGACTTTTTACATTTAAGAATGTTGATTTTCAACATGAACTGACATCCCTGATAAAAGTGCACAAAATCATAATATTTTTTTAAATCTTTGAATTCTAGTGTTTGACAAAGTAGAGGTATATGTTTTTATCACTTGAACATAATCACAGCCTGTAAACAAGAAGAAAGAAAGAAAGAAAGAAAGAAAGAAAGAAAGAAAGAAAGAAAGAAAGAAAGAAAGAAAGAAAGAAAGAAAGAAAGAACAAGGTCAATAAAGATCATCAGAATATCTTAAAATGTCTTCAAAGTAAACTCAGTCTAAAACAAAACCTTTAAAAGTTTTTATAAACTCATTAGTAGATAATTTTAAAATATATTCTGAGAAACTTAAAACTGGTTTTAAAATTAATATCTTCCTTAATCCTCAGACTTAAACAAGTCGTCGAACTAGATTAAAGTCTCATCATGACTAACAACATTACACATGGAGTTAAGTACGAACGCCATTTTCAAACATCATCACACATCAGTAATCTGATGGTAAGCTTTCTCTGTGAGAGCTGATCCAAAAAAGCCCGGCTTCCTGTTTACAGCCAGCAGAATGAGGTCACATCCTGTCTGCAGTGAGGGAGCTGGAGTAGTGAAGCTTGTTGTTCGTGCTTTTTAACTCAGTGCTGATGATGACGGGGATAATGAAATCAGACGCTGATGTAGTTTCCTCACAGTGGAAACCCCAAACACCCCACCCCCCACAACCTGGGTAACCCCCTTACATCAGCGTGACCTCATGAGGACTCGTTTTCCCACACTTGAGTTCCTCCAGATGCACGTCAAACAGCAAAGGACTGACGAATAAACTTTTATTATCTGCTCTCTTGATTGTCTTTGTTTCGTCTGCAAGGTTTTTAAGATGTTTAACCCAAAAAACTTTCTTTGCACTGCGTCAACGTTTCACTGGAGTGCCGCAGTCTGTGTGCCGGATTATTAATTACAATCAGAGAACTTTATTAATCCCAGAGGAACAAAACAGAAACCCTTTGAAAGCATCAGTCTAGCTTAAATCCTCTGCAGCTTTGTGTCACAGTCACAGGAGAATCCATCTTTGCTCTCTGAGATTGATGTCCTAGTGATACATCACAGTGGACTTTTTATTGTTCAGTCTTTCCGGGGCTTTGATCCTGCTCATCAAAAACAAATCGCAGTGCTGGAGGAACTTTGATCTCTTGGAAAATTCCTGGAGCTTTTCATGGGAAAGCACCAAAACAAAAACATCACATAGTGACACTGGAGAAAGAAATGTTTGGGAACCTGGAACCAGACCGATCTGAGGGCTTACGTTTCATTTACCCCTTGTTTAGATTTCCATGAGGGCTTGGCTCTGCTCGGCCAATCACAGCACTGTGTTTGATACAGGGGAGTTTGATACAGTGATTGCATGGACAAGCACTTCAATAAACATCCAGGATCCTTTAAGTCCACTATTATCTCAGGAATAAAAGACCTGCGTGGTAGATTTTCTCTAAAGAACAAACAGCTTAACGCCCTGACTGATAAGAACTGTGCGTTTCTGTACCAACTCACTCTGCCTGTCTATAAACAGCAAGTCTCCACATGTCGTCACTGTCACTTCACAATGACGGTTAAATGTGGAAAACTGCTCAAAAGTGTTGCACAAACCTGGACGAGTCACTCAGTTGGAGGTTTAAAGTAAAGTCAGAGCGGGCATCAAACCCGCGCCCTCTAAAACCAGCAGGTTGTCTTATTGGCTCAAGAGCAGTGATGGATTGTTTGTTTAACGCTGACACTGCAGCGTGAAGCATATTCACACCCCGTTAATGCTAACAGAGGGGAAAATTGTGGTTTGGAATAATACTGCCTGGTGCTGGGCGCTGTGTTTGAGGGCTGCTGTGTGCCTCTAGTGGCCGCAGACGGAATCACAGCAGTCAAATAAAGTCCTCTCTGATTTCTCTGCAGGAGCCGTTTGCCACCGACACAGCCGATGTCTTCATCAATGGACTGAATGCTGGGGCTGTTAGCTGCAGCACGCTGTGTTCCTCCGACCCTCTCCACTCCCTGAACCACAACCAGTTCCCAACGCTCCACTGCGGCTCCTCCAGGAGTCTGAACCAGAACAGTGATGCTAAGCGGCAGAACATCTATGAGAACTTCATGCAGGAGCTGGAGATGGGTTGCAGCAGTACGGCTGACAGGACGGAGCCATCAGAGGGGGACGGAGATGAGGGTGAGGAGGACGAGGAAGAGATAGATGGGGATGTGGAGGTGGGAGAAGGGGAGCAGTTGGATGTCCTGTTTGAGAAGGAGCAGGGTGTGGTGCGCCGGGCCGGATGGCTCTCTTTCAAACCTCTCATCACTGTTAACAAGGACAGAAAGCTGGAGCTGGTCGCCCGCCGCAAGTGGAGGCACTACTGGGTCACACTGAAAGGTACGGCCGCCTGCAAGGACCAGAAAACAGAAAGTTGAGTTCAAGTTTCAGGATTAGATCTGATCTTATTTTCAGTGAAGGGCAGAAAACTTGCGTAGGAGAAGTCTGGTGATGCCTTTAGTGCCTCTGCTCGAGCTGAAACCAGGCTTATGCTGCATACAAGGCAGCAAAAGAGTCTTTGTGCACCTGAGGCACAGTGTAACTTTCCAGGTTCCTCAGTGTCACTTTCGGGTTACATTAACCAGGATGTTTCCAGTTAGGCAGTGGGAAGGTCTATAATCAGCCAGCTGATTATAGATTCAGCATGTTTCAGGAAATACTGACGAGTAGTTTTTGAGTTGACTGTTAACCGACCAACAACTATTTATCACTTCTGCTCTCAGCACAGAGAAGGTTAGGACTTCTTCTTAAACCAGAGGAGTCGCCCCCTGCTGGGCATCAGAGAGACTGCAGGTTTAGGCACTTCTAAATGAAACTTGATAAAAAAAAAAAAGTGTTCTGTTTCATGTTAAACATTTTACTGAAGTCTTTACCATATGTGGCATCAACAGCTAAAATTTATAAATCTCTGTGAAATAAACTATTTAACGTGTAATTAACGATGGATTTTGTCTGTTCAGGTTGCACTCTGCTGTTTTACGAGACATATGGGAGGAGCAGCGGCAGCGCCGACCAGGAGCTTTCTCCTCGCTACGCTCTCCTGGCTGATGACAGCATCGTCCAGGCCGTCCCTGAGCACCCAAGGAAGGAGCATGTCTTCTGTCTGAGCAACTCGTATGGAGACGTGTACCTGTTCCAGGTGAGGGAACCGCCAGCACACTGAGAAACATGATTTTACTGGAGTATCCTTGAATGCAGCACCAGCATAAGCAGCTGTGGTGTTGGGACATTTCTGAGGTTTTCTCTTCATTCTTTCATTCTGTGATCGCTTTCCTCCAACTGCTGCCTCCATCTTTTTTCCCATCGCTGTGGCTCATTTGTGAGCAGCGTGAATGAACGGGGTGTGGCGTCACACCAGCTTTTGGTTTTCTCACCACAAACATCCACACTGTGGGACTTTCTCTGCGTGTCTTTCTGTTGGTAATGACTGTGAGCATTTCCCCCTTTGCTGCCAGCTCCACACCACCCACACCGAGGAGCAAGCAGACAAACAAAGAGTAGATTTTACTTTTACTCCGACAAAGAAGAGGAGGCACAGATGTGTCGAGGCCCCGGATGAACTCCTGGCGTTCCTTCTAGTCGATCTTGAATGACACGAGCGGCAAAAGTCTGGATGTCAGAGGTCAGCGGGGATAAAAAGAGAGGCCGATTATTACCTGTACTCTCGTTGGTAAAGGTGATGTCATCATGTAATTTAATAATTTATTTCTGTGATCACCTCCTCAAACTTTTAGGAGCTCCTCTTGATTCCCAGAGTCACTCTGACTAATGCAGCAGAGTCTGCAGACACACAAATCACCTTCCTCCCAGAGGAGGAGGTGGAGTCTTTGTCAAGGGCTGAAAGCAGCTGAAGATGACGAGCGGAGAAGGCTGAAAGCCTGCTAATGGGAATCACGACACCCAGCTAATTACTGCAACAAATGTTCCTCTTTACGATCATGACTTGATGAAGAGCGAGCTTTAAACCCTGCCACACGTCCCCTCGTAAACAAAAACAGCTGTTAACATCAGGACATTAAGTCTGCTGCTTAAACGCAGAAACCAGACCATCAGAGGATGACTGAGCCTTGCTTCCTGCTTTCAGCAGCAAATTTACATTTAAAGGTTTCTGTATTTAAGGTTTTTGTTGTTAAAACAAAGCGCAATCAGCAGCTGAATATTCAGAGTTAATAAAGCAGGAGGCTCAAAGTTTAATACTGTTCTGTTGCTTAAAATCTGTCTGACTCCATCTTGTCTCGCCCTCCAGGCCACCAGCCAGACTGACCTGGAGAACTGGGTGACGGCAATCCACTCGGCGAGTGCCTCTCTGCTGGTGAAGCGTCAGAGGAAGGAGGACACACTGCGCCTCCTGCGCTCTCAGAGCCGCTCGCTGCTCCACAAGATTGACATGGATGGGAAGATGAAGAAGATGGCCGAGCTGCAGCTGTCCATCATCAAGGAGCCCAAGAGCAGGAAGGCGGTGGAGAGCCAGGTGAGTGCGGGGAGAAGTGGTCCGGTCAGGGCGGACAGCACGTTGGTATTATCACCTACACCGGTCCTGAATATGGGCAATGCTTTAGAATGACCCTCACAGCCATCTTTGAGTGAAGCACACATGAACATCAGACCAGACTCTCGCCCTGTTGTCTTTGAGCTTCACGATACCTTCAGTGTCTGAAGTTTGCTGCTGTCTCTGTGTTTGTTGCAGAGAAATTAGACGATCCTGAAACTGTGCAGCAGACTGTGTTTCAGTTTAAGGGTTTCTTTTCTGCTCAGCATCAGTGTGAGTCAGTTAGGTTTCATCAGCATTGCTTCAACAGACATCAGGTAACAGCTGTAAGAGGAGAACTGTCAGTAAATCTTGATGAACGTGCAGTTTCTGAGTCTGTGGATGGACTTTGTTGTGTCACAGATTAGCTTCAGGCTGTTTTGCGGGTTTCTTTGTTCTTGTTGTTAATTTCCAGTGACAGCAATGTGCAGACAGAGAACGTATAATTTAGCAGCCTGCTAATCTTTCCTCTGAACTGTGAAACTGATCCCAGCGCTGCAGTTTGAACTCTGAGATTAGAGGCTAATCTTCCTGCTCAACATTCAATTACACATTTACTGAGAGGGAGGGGAGGGCAAACAGAGGAGGAGAAGGAGAGCCTCGATTTATTGGAGAGAGTCCAGCAAGAGAAGAGGAAGGAGGGGAGGGGAGGAGAGGAGAGGAGATGAAAGGGAGGACAGGATGGAGGGATGAGGGATAATGGGTGATAATCACACAGTAAGGGACAAAATAACTTCATCACAACAGAGACTGAAGCAGGAATTGACAGCAGCAGCAGTCTGCCCCACCCAGGAAATACACTTTACCAGATGAGTGAATGGAGAAAAGATGGCTTCTCTCAGCGCCTTGCCATGACTCACTGACCATGTTTCATGGTTTTCATGGCCGTCTGATGAGTTATTATCATTGTTTTATACAGAAGCTGTGTTTATGTGTGACCCTGTGTGTGCTCAGATCCAGCAGTGGGAGCAGAATCTGGAGAAACTGAACCTGGATCTGTTCAGGCTCAGGTGCTACCTGTCCAGCCTGCAGGGCAGCGAGCTCCCAAACCCAAAGAGCCTCCTCGCTGTGGCCAGCAGGCCCTCCAAGAGCATGCTGGGACGCCTGGGAGTCTTCTCCGTGTCCTCCTTCCATGCTCTGGTAAGTAGCGGCTCGACGCTTCCCTTTTTTTTAAAAAAAAAAAAAAGAAAGGAAGAAGGAAATTAACCAAATCTGCCTCTCTGGACGCTCACAGGTGTGCAGCCGAGAAGAGGCCACACTGAGGCGGCGCTGCCGGTCTCTTTCGGGAGGAAACCGGAGGAGGGGTCTGCCGTCCTCCCTGAAGGTCCTGGATGATCTCAACAGGCGCGGCAGGGGTGGCAAACACTCAGCTCACCAGGTATTACACTGCACCCTTTTCTTGTCCAGTTCAGTGCTGTAGTATGGTGAGAGGCAGCGTGCACCCTTCTGAAAATAGTTTGAAAGGTGAAATATTCACATGGAGTCAGAGACAGGTTTAAGAAACGTTCTACTCTGAAGTCTTTTCACGTGGACGACTAAAACCAACTCGTCTGATTCAGGCTGAACTCGTCGTTCCTCTCTGCTCTCTAAAAACAGCCCAGAAGAAGCGTGCTGTCATCTGTCGTTACGAGGCTAAGTTTAGCCTCTCCTCAGTGCATCATCCAGCTGCAGTTCCCATCATGCCTGGCTCCTGACGGTCCCCTCGTGATAAACAGTGGGTTATTTTTGGCCTCTGAGGGTCCGGAGGATAAATCTGTCAGCGCCACTTTGCTTTGGCTTGGATTCTCGCAATTCAACTGAGCCGATACACGCTCAGTGGAAAAACTGCCTCATAGTTTCATAGCTGCAGCGTCTGCAGGATCGCAGCACGTTACCTGCTCCCTCCTGCCCTTGAGCAAGGAACTGCGCAGGATGCTTCCAAGCAGTAACTCCCGCTCTGAGCCAAACATCTGTGGATACCTTGGTGAGGGGAATTCTAGCCACATGCTGCCTTTGTTCGACTGAGAGTCCTGCTTCGAGCTGAACGTCTAATCAGTCAGCTGTTTATTTCATCTTACACAAAACCGACCAATCAGAGAGCTCAGAGGGCTTTTTGTATGCTGTCCTGCTCTTGAAAGTCAGAATGATTTATTTCCAGCAACTTTTTATTACCATAATTAATTTTTCTTCGAAATGTAATGAATGTAGGGTGTAATAAAGCCTTCTGAGCTGCTGCACCTCTACTTGTTGTGTGTTGAAGCCCAGCAGACGGTAACACAGAAAGGTCTTTCTGTGGACAGAGACGTCTTCAGGCTTGATGGAGGTGTTCGTAGTCAAGCCTGCGGCAGCTTGTTCTTTGTGCTGAGCACTTGTGGTCAGACAGACCTGCAGCATGTTTGTGTGCAGCTGGATCTCCATTCCGGTTCTGCTTTCAGATCAGATCTGATGCTGCAGGCTGTGGTTTCCGGGTGGAGCAGCTCCACTAGAGGACATGTGGAGCTGATTGCTGCTCGCTGTGTCAACTCTGCAGGAGATATACACTTACCGGAACTCGCCGCCTCCATTTCACTGCCATGTCGGGGGGTGGGGGTCATTACTGTAAAATCCTTGATTCCTTCCAGAAAACAGAAGTTTTCGTACTGACGAGTGTTTCCTGCTTAATGTTGGTCTCCAGTCATCATGTGACTCACTGTGTCCAACCGTCCACTCAGACCACAGTCACGACTGTTGTGGATGTTTTAAGGTGGTGTCGAGGAAAGGCATGCGAGTCCACGATGATGATGATGCCGATGTGTTCAGTGTCAGTCGGTGGTCCCAGACTCCAGGCAGGCTGATGGCGGCTTCACAAACCTGTAATTTCAGCGCAGCTCAACCTGCTCATTTTTTCCCATGATTCCCTGGGGCTAATTTAGGTTTTGATGCAGGACAGAATTAAACATCCCAAGTCTTTTATCATTTTTAATTACGTTTAAATATAGGAGGGAGTATTTTTAGTTTGTCTTTAGTCATGACTGTGTTTGTGTGTTTGTGTTTGACTACAGCAGTACATTATGTGGACTTTGTAGAAAGCAGCTCACTGGTTAAAGATCATGACGTTTACAGGAGTCGCGTCGCTCCTTTGAAGCACCGTCAGGAAACACTCGGGTGGATGTGAGCGACTCTGAAGCAGGAGTCACTGATCTTTTGCTGATTAAGCAAATATGAAACAGGTTATCGCTCAGAGAAAAGACGACTCAAGCTGGAAGATGATGTGACACTGATACTTGTGTTCAAAATTGTCACCCATCAAACTCACCGAGGAGGAAAAGGAGGAGGAGGTGGGAGAAAGAGGAGGAGGACAGTTTGTTTAACTGCACAGCTTTTTGAGGGCAACCTTCTGAAGAGGAGGAGGTGGGAGGAGGAGAAGGAAGGGGAGGAGGTGATTGAGAATTAAAAGCTTCCAGGCTGTTTTATTCTGCCAGGATTTCTTTGTTCCTGAGAGTTAATCCTTCACAGGAGGCAGGAGATGACTCCAACACCTCCTCTCCACATGACCTCCCCACCAAACCCCACCTCCTGTTGTCACATGACCTCCACCTTCTTTCTTCTGCTCCTCTTTTAACCTCCTTCCTCCCCCTGTGTCTCCTCTGTATCCCACTGTTCCTCTTTACCCTTTTGTCTCCATATTTCATCTCCTGTGATCTTTTCAGCCAATCAGAGCTCCGGATTCTTCACAGGCTTTTCTTATTTTCCAGTTCACCTCGTCGCTTTAAGTCCTGTGGAGAAAGTCTGAATTTTAAGAATCACCTGCCTATTAGTTTAATGATTTTATAGTTTTCTGCCTTTAAAGCTTCAGTTTATCTATGTTTTTATCAAATGCATTGATGATTTTACTGATCAGATCTTATAGAAGCTAATCGGTTATAATAACTGAAGGTAAACCTCGTAGGTCGCTCAGTCCTTTAAAACCTGTGCTGATGAGTTAAAAGTTTAATTTAAAGTAAAATTCTTCCTCTGTGTTTCTTCTGCAGAATCTGGACTGCGCTCCCAAACAGATGGAGGCAGCGCCCCCTGCCGGTCATAGTGCAGATCTGCAGGTCTGTTCACTGACTTACCTACAACTTCTCTTTAATGTTTTTTCTGCGGGCAGAATGATGATAATTACTCGATTTGTATTCACATGATTCCTGCGAGGTCATTCTCCCGGTTCACTCTCCTCTGTGTGTTTTCAGTTGCGTGATGAACAGCAGCTTCCAGCTGTTGGTGTTTTTACTCTGAACATCTGTCGACCTGACGGCCACAAAGACTTCGGTGAGAAAGAAAAACTCATCACTGAATAAATAAAATTCGTATAAAAACATGACTGGTTTGTGTTCTGAGAGGATAAATAATAAGCATATTTACCTGTGTGTGATGTGCTTCTTCTTCTGTGAATCTGCAGGTTTTGCAGTGACAGGTCACGTGGACGGAGCAGGAAAAAGTCATGTTTTTGTCAGCGAGGTGGACCCGCTGGGACTTTCATCCAGAGACGGTAAAACAGAGAACGGTTTCAGGTTTTATTTTGAGGGAGACCCTGCATTTCTGACAGTTTGAGGTTTTGAAGGTGTCCAGCAGGGGGCGCTCGAGGCTCTGCTATCAGGCTGTCACCTGTGGAGCGCTACACCTCCAGAATGGGAAAAACCCTGTCTGTGTTTAGGATTTTAAAAAATGTAGAAACTTTAAAAAACTTTAAAAGATGCAGTTTAATTTTTCTGTTTCCAATCAGGCCTCAGGGCCGGAGACGAGGTCCTGGCTGTTAACGGCGCTCCTGTGACTGGACTGGACCTGGACCTCCTGCAGAGTCTCTTCAGACATCAGAAGCTGCAGCTGCTGCTGAGGAGGGATGAGTCACCTGAGGCCGAAGAGCCTGCCGACCTCTGGCCCGACCACGCTGACCCCTTCCACCCCGGCCGCCGACCACCGGCCACGAACATCCACACCTGGATCACAGGTACAGCAGAGACGCTCTGGTAACAGCATCATAATGTTCAAACACATTTCACATTTATATCAAACCGATTTCCAGTTTTAAATATAAACTCAACCATTTTAGTCACAGCTGTTTTATTGATCAGATTCATTTACAGAAACCAGAATCAAAGGCTTTTATTGTGAAGGCCAGTTAAAGCAGCAGGAGTTCTCCTGTAAAGATCACAGATCACATTTCTTCTTCATCTCACAGATTCCTCTGTCATCACAGATGCAGACAGCATCCTGCCTCCCGTTTTCGATGACACTTCTTCGAGGATACCTCAGGACACCGAGCCCTCAGAGGAGGTGAGCTTCAGTCTGTGACAGTCTGAGAACATCTGGATTTTTTTTAAATGGTTGTATGTTATTCATGACCAAGCCGCTTGTGTTTTGCTTTGATCGGCGATAACCCCGTCATATGAAATCAAGAAGTTTTATGAGGATGTGATTGGTTTCCAAAGAAGGCAGCTCAGACTTACCTGCAGAAATCCTCCTGTGCCTCCTGGAGCTCCACCCCCCACCTCTGTGCACATGACCTTTGGTCAGCCTGATAATCCAGCTTACACAGTCAGGAGTGTTTGTAAAGTCAGAGCTGAGGGATTAACGTTTTTCCCTGGAGAAACACAACTTGTAGGTGTTGTTTTTGACTGCCTCTTCATTTCTGACGACGGCAGAAGGAGTATCAGGTGACCTCCGCCCCCAACTGATCCTCTTCGTCGTTGTTTCACTCCTTCGTCATGGGTGCTCTGTGCTGGGTACTGCCGATGGAGGAGGACTGGGAGACTCTGGAGGAAGAGGAGGAGGATAGAAGGGAGGTGTTCCCCGGGGTGGGGCTCCTGGAGCGGCTGCTGAGGCTCCTGGACAAGGTGGCAAGCTGCCTGGGCTGTTGGCGTCCCGCTGACGGCGTCGTCCTGCTGGTAAACGGGCTGCTGGTTGGTGTAGAGCTGAAACTTGGTGTAGAGGAAATGATCACAAGTGTTTTCTGTGCTTTAGATTTTCTCAGTGTGAGACGGTTGTACACACCACTATCACAGCGTTACGTGTACAGACGCCCACAAGACTATGTTGTACCTGCTCAGACAGAAAGTAGGACAATAGGAACAAGTCACCACCTGAGAGAATGTCAGCACAGGACAGTAATCCCAGCCTCAGATGTCCCGGGGCGGCTCAGAGTCAAACAGCTGCTCCTTCGTGAAACAGTTTAGATACCTTAGGATCCTCCTGGAGGAGCGGGAAACCTCTTGTTGAAACATCAAGTAACATCAAATATTTGAGGCTAATATTCCAATTAGTGAGATAAAATCAACTATAATCACCCTGAAAAAGCAGAGATAATTAATTGATTTAAAAAATTAAGATAAAACAAGTCCTGGAGCTCAAAAGTGAAGCTGTTAAAAGGTTCTTCTGTTTACACAGCATCTTTTGATTCTTCATGAACTAATTGATTGTTCGAGTTAATAAAACTGTCACGCTGTGATCGCGCTAACCTAAAGATCTTCATCTTCAGTGTTTTTGGAGTCAAAGGTCAATCCTGCACTCTCGACCATCCAAAGACTCGTTGGTTTCTTTCAACTCGACTCAGAAACAAGCACCAGTTGCTGCTGTTTAGGCCTTTGATGCACTTGTGTGCACATTAATATCCCGTGTTTGATCATCTTCCAGTTCATTATCTGCTCTGCTGAAACCTGGAGGTGGGTCTTTAGTTCTTCATCGAAACTGCTCCTCACCTCCATGAACAGTTAAATTGAACATGTCTGGGCAGTCTTTTCCCCACATGTTCAGATCTCAGGGCGCTCCTCCTTCCTCGAGTTTAAAGTGCAGCGACGCTTCCTCACCGCTTATCAAAAGCTCTGCAGCTTCAGGGTGAGCGCATTGGAGCTCAGAATTCATCAGGCTGTCGGCACTGCGTTAGAGGCTGGCAGCCCAGATTATGATGACGGATGAGGCAGCCAGTTGGTTAGCAGCTCGTCCTCAGTCAGGGTCATAGCAGCAGCAGCGGCGCTCAGACTGGGAACAGGTTTGTGTTTGTCTGTCTGGATTTTGGTGTTTGTGTGTTTAACCTCATCTCTGGCTCAGCGGCTTCCCAGACCTCCCCAAAATCCAGCAGAGAGATTAACCTCCTGCTCCAATGATCCTCGTTCTCCTGACTCAGAGCCACAGTTCTCTCCGGTTTGTCACTCAAGTTTGAGTGTGAGTGGAACAAAAATCAGTTACTGGACTTCCACCTGGGATCCATGCATCTTCTTCTGCTTATCTAATTCACGGTCATGTGGGAGCTGAAGAATACCCCAGCTATAATAGGACCGGGGGGGGTGGGGTCTGTTTTCTGATTTTTCTTCTTTATTGTCAAGCACATGAACAGTGGTGTTGTCCTGAATGATTTCATTGAGCTTTGGTTCCTGTGTTTCCCTCCCAGAACTTAGACCAGGTCTACTCGCTTTACCAGACCTTTCCAGAAGGCCAGACAGGAGATGGCGACAACCCCAAAAACCCGTACGGCAGAGAGGTCAGCCTGCAGCCGGTGAGCCCCACCCACCTAAGCGTGTGTCAGCGTCTGCGTAAGGTCATCCAGGAGCTGGTCGACACCGAGAAGTCCTACGTCAAGGTCAGAATACAACAGCAACAGTAGTACTACTGTGGTACTACTGCTAGTACATCTGATATGTTAATGGACGCGTTTTGACTCATTTTCAGCTCCATGTTTTTATTCTTTGTCTCTACAAGAGTAGCTTTGCATGATTCAGTTCAAAATAATCCTTCCTTATCTTATTCTGGTCCTTCAACCTTTTACCCTATCCTTTGTCTGAAACATGCTGTTTTAGCTCCTCCCACTTATGTCTAGATTTCTTCTGATTGGCTGCCCCTGATATTACCATTTTGGGGATTTCCCCTCTCTGTGACATCATACTAAACCAGGAGTAGAAAAAACTGTGTGAAACTCCAGTTTTTTATCAGTTTATTTATAGAATAAAATAAAACAGAAACTATTTTTTTATGTTAAAGTGATAAAGAAATCTATACTTGTGATTTTACACACAATATGTACAGTTTTAGTTTTAAATGGTTGTATGAAATGGGTCCCTTACAAATATTAAAAGAATCTGCTATATTAATATTTTTGTCTTAATTAGAGTGTACGCTTAAACATCTTTATATCTTCAAACCTGTGTGTTTAAAACTGCTGGAAAGACCTTACTATTTGATTCGAGCCGATAATTAAATTTGAAAAAAGAAATTAGACTTTGATTAATATCAACAACATTTTTTTGGTTCTGTTTCAGGATCTCATCTGTCTGTTCGACATCTACCTCACCCCCCTGCAGAAGGAGACGTTCCTCAGTAAAGACGAGGTAAAAACGAGCCGACAGTAAATGACGGTTGTGAAGTGAAGGTTGTGGTTGTGACTCTGACCGCAGTGTGTCTCTCTGTCACTCTGTCAGATGGAGGCGCTGTTCGGCAGTCTGCCAGAGATGTTGGACTTTCAGAGAGTTTTTCTCCAAACGCTGGAGGAGAGAATCGCCGCCTGTCCGAACTTCAGCAGCCTGGAAACCCCCGAGCAGTTCAAGGTGAAGGTCCATCAGCTGGTTCAGACAGATTTTATTTCCTTCATTTATTTTTTTATTTTATTCTTTTTGTTTTAGTTGTGCATGCATGCAAGTTTTATTGTTTTATTTATTTAAGCTCCAGTGATTTATTTTGGCCCTGTGATGTTTTACTTTTATGCATTTTTTTCCCCAATTGTTAAAACTGATATATTTATTATATACTCCATTTCGGGTCCATTATTATTATTGTTATTTTATTCTTTACTTAGTTTTTTTATTTTTATTTATTTTATTTATTTTTTTAATAATTTATTTAATTACATTATATACATAGTATATATTTTTTTAGATATTTTGTCTTTTCACAGTTTATCTTTTTTTTATTTTTTTTGTACATTTTATTCATTTATTAACTCTATTTTATTTATTTTAAGCTGTTAACATATTTCTCCTTTTTAAATGTTTCAATATTTTAAATGCGGAATTTCCATATTTTAATGAACAGAAGTTTTTATTTGCTTGTTCGATGGGTTTAGTTTTTTCACACCTCATTTGTGTTTCATTCAGAAACTCCTCTTCCCATTGGGTGGATCATTTCTGTACTACGCCGATCACTTCAAGCTCTACAGTGGCTTCTGTGCGAATCACATCAAAGTCCAGAAAGTTCTGGAAAGAGGTGAAAACACAGTCTGAGCACTTTAAACTCATTTAAGCAGCACTCCATTTAACCTTAAACCCTGACCACCTGTGACGCAGCCAAAACAGACGCAGCCTTCAAACAGTTCCTGGAGGCCAGAAATCCGACCAATCAGCACTCGTCTTCCCTGGAATCATACCTGATCAAACCTGTTCAGAGAGTCCTGAAGTATCCGCTGCTGCTCCGAGAGCTCGTGTCCCTGACAGATGCAGAGAGCCCCGAGCACACACACCTGACAGGTAACCCAAACATACACCTGACAGGTAACCCACACACACACCTGAGAGGTAACAGACCTCACAGCATTGTATTTAAACATGTTTTGTGACCAGCTGCACTTCCACTGTCATCCACTCAGAGGCACTGCGAGCAATGGAAAAGGTGGCGAGTCACATCAACGAGATGCAGAAGATCTATGAGGATTACGGCTGCGTGTTTGACCAGCTGGCAGCAGAGCAGAGCGGAGCCGACAAACAGGTAAACACAATGACACACACACACACACTTGAGTGTCACCTGTGTGCATCACATACCCTGAAGGGTTTTTTTTTCCTCCACCCTCAGGTGACGGAGATCTCGATGGGGGAGTTTCTGGTCCACTCGTCGGTGGTCTGGTTGAACCCACTGCCCTCTCTGGGTCGCTTGAGGAAGGAACCAGAGCTGACGCTGTTTGGTGGGTGAAGTCTCTTCTTCACACTTCTTTACTTGCACAGGTAATAACTGATGGAGAATAACACAAGTCTGTCTTTGTCCTCAGTGTTCAAACGAGCCGTCATCCTGGTTTACCGTGAGAACAGCAAACTGAAGAAGAAGATGGTGAGTGCACGTCTACTCTTCATCTCCTAATTTGTATAACTGAACAGATTTGTATGTCTATTTATGCCAATGTAAACAAAAAAATACAGTGACAAAAAAAATTAACAAAGTGTTAAAAAAATGATATTAAAAATGCAAATCTGTCAATTAAAAAGTAAAACAATATGTGTTATGTGTTAAAGAATATTTAAAAATATCAAAAGAATATCAAAATAATGATCATAACAAAGATATAAATCCCATAAATGAAATCACTTAAAATTTCCTTTTCAACTATAATATTGTTGTTCTTTTCATTTTTTGATAAAGTAAAACCAAACATATGAGAGATAACATCACATTTAAATAAATCTAAACACTGTGAGGTTTTAAAAGAAAGATGGAGGCCAAAAATGTCTAGTTTTTAAGTCAAATATCAATAAAAATCTATTTGGCTTAATCTGTTTTTTCCTGTATTGGCAGTAATGGGCTTCCATACAACTGCTGGTTTCTATTAATTTCTTCAAAGATCATCTCAGAAAAACTTTAACCTGGTTCTGGAGAGATGATCTGCTTCTTTGTCTTTACAAATGTAATCCTCGTCCTTGATTGGCTCCTCAGCTGTAAACACATCAACGCGATGTCACTGAATAAAAGAAAAAAACACCTCCACCTGTTCTTGTTGTCAGTTTTTATGTTTTTTTCTCACAGACCTCGTCCCGATCAGCTGACCTTGACCCCTTCAGATTCCGCTGGTTAATCCCAGTTTCAGCGGTCCAGGTCAGACCGGCTAACATCACAGGTGAGTGACCAATCAGAGTGAGGTTTGTTACTGCAGTGCTGGTGCAACAGCTCTCCAGCAGGAGGCGCTGTGACGGTCTGAGCTCACTGTGCTGTGTGTGTAGGTTCTGAGGACCCATGTGTGTGGGAGCTGGTTCACAGTCGGTCTGAAGTGGAGGGACGACCAGAGACGGTGTTCCAGCTGTGCAGCAGGTACGGACAGCCAATCAAGTTCCTGTGGTGGTTCTCGACTCTGTGCATGATGATGTTAAGCTTCAGCTCTGTGTTTGTATTTCAGCGGTTTGGAGACAAAGGCCAGCGTGCTGCGAGCCCTGCGCTTGCTCCTCAGAGACCGAGCTCCTGTGGGATCCCTGAGGAGGAGCAGGCTGTCTACGGCTGAGAGAAGCGCCTCCTGGAGGAGGAGGCAGCAGCGCCACTCTGACACCCAGAAGACAATTCCTCACCAGCTGCAGGAGAGCTGCAGGTCTGACAGCGTCCTGGGCGACACATGCTCAGAGCCTCTGCTGCCGAGCCACGCCTCCAGCTCCAGTGCCGCTGCAGGGATGAGAGGCAGACTCTGCTCCCTGACTAGCGAGCTGGAGGCCCAGCTGCAGAGGCTCAACTTCCGAGAGGAGGAGGTGGAGCAAAGAGGGACATCTATAAGTGAGGAGGAGAAAAATAAGCGGAGCTCTAGCCTACGGCGAAGTCCTGGAGATCTGCAGGACCTCAGCAACCTGCTGGAGAGAGACTTCAGCGTTCAGAGCATGACCTCCATGATAAACGAGGACTGCTTCTATGACCCCCTCCTGGGGTTACAGACGACCGCCGCCATGCCCGCAGTGTAGGGACAAAGCTAACATGCTAACACAAGGAGGATGGACACAATGTGGGGAGTCTAAATAAATCCAGACGATTGAGCTGGAAGTTTATCACACCTGCTCCGCAGACCTGAACATGGAGGTCCACGCTGACCAAAAGGTGCCATCTGACGAGGTTCGGGTCATTTTCGAGAGTGTGAAGCAGCTTCATTCCTCAAACATCGCCTCCTGCAGGTCATCACAGGTCACTACACCAAAGGAAACGCTGACAGACTAACTGACCCTTTAAGAGGATCTTCATCTCTCCAACACTTGAACTGTTCTCAGTGAGACAATGAGATAGCAGGACATCTGTCCAGCCCTCTGATTGGCTGCGAGATTCATGACACTGAAACCTTCAACAAATAAAAAAGGTCTGGAGGTGGATTGATAACAAATTTTTGTACAAGAGGAAGTCATATCAGCCAATCTGGGATTTTTTTTTACTGATCTCTCTGATTCAGCATTAAAAGCTCACCAGTGATTTAATGGTAACAAAAATAAACAGCAGTCGAACGCCACCGGAAAGTGAGAGAAAAGAGTCTGACAATAAAGTCCAAGAAAAATGTAAATTTAAAGAAAACGTGTATCACTTTGAAACATCAGTTCATGCAAGTTCTTAAATTCCTAAAATTCATTTTTAATTTATGAATTTTTTTTGTTTGTTTGTTTTTAGTCTCAAAAAGAAATTTGATTTGTTTGTATTTAAAAATAAGATTTTATTCTCATAAAATTACAGGTTGATCTCTCAGAAATGTGACCTCTTTCCACAAAAGTGCACCTTTATTTTTTTTTAAATATCAATATCATTACCTGTTAACCTTTAAAATTACCGTTATTTATGCAAAAAAAACAAAAAACATTTGGCAAGCAGTTTTTAGTTTTTTCATTTAAATTTTTTTTTTGAGTGTTTTTTTTTTCTTTCTGGATTTTTTTAATTTTACATTTTCTTTAAATAAATTACTTCAGCTTTGAAATAATACGTTTATGGTGCCCTCACAGTAAAACTTTATTCTATCAACATCTTTAAATATAGCTATCTCTAAAAAACAATTTTATCTTCAAACTACTGAAATTCCTGCATGAAATTCAGCCTGAAAAGTGTATTTTTCTTTACACGAGTTTATAATAATCTGTCTTTTAAAATGTAAATTTATACCAAATTTTTCAACTTTATTCTCAATCTTTTTTCTCTCACAGAGGCTCTGATGTGAAACTGTAGACCCATCTCAGGCATCTCGCTAACACAGCTCACAAACCTCAAAGAACAAACAGAATCATTTGTCTCAGAGACAAACTACAGACCTCACAAAACTTTTCAGAAACTGGAGTGTTCTTTTTAAAAATTCCTCGAGAGAACATGGTGCTCAGTTCTTTTCACTTAACCAAGCATCTCTCTGAAGGGTCCAACCAGCTCAGTTTCATCTTGTTCGCTAATGATGGACCAAACCGAATGTTGGACTTGCTGCCTGAACTCGGCGACAGCTGTCAAACTCTTGTGTTGTAAATATTCTTGTGTGCAGCACTCATTTTGAACTTTTCTGTCTAACAGAGAAACTTTCTTGACAAAAGCAGTTTCTGGAAAAATCTGGAGCTGCTGGATCAAAGCCTTCAGTCGAGTTTTTATATTTATATATTTGTAATGTTTTGTTGACCAAGCACTAGAGAGACACCAGTGTTTTTATTTTATATTTGTGTTTTATATTTTCTAAAATGTTAAAGTATTTGGTAATTTATTTTCTTAAATATTTGTTCAAGGCAAATAAATGAAAAAAATATTTAATTAAAGATTTTTGACCTGAAATGCTCCTCCTATTGCTGTTTATTCAGTCTCTGAACAGAAAACTTCAAGGCCTTGTGAACAGCTGAAACCCCCCTGGCAACCACTGGTTGCTAGGGGGTGGTTAGCTGCGGCTAGCCGTGGTTTGCATAGAAGACGCTGACTTTTCTCAAAACTCGCCCCAGCTGCTCACTGAGTAGTTGTAAAGCTTTCAGGGAAAAAACAGAAAAGATTCACTGAAGTGGATTTGTGATGCTGCAGAGCTCTGTCTGTGCACTGCTGAGTAAAGCTGAGGTCCCTGTGCTCTCTGCAGGTCTCATTATTAATGTAAAGAGATAATAAAATCTTATTCTTTCAGAATTTGTATGTGTCTTGGGCAGCTATCCTCCCCTTGCCTCCAGTTCTCCACTTTGCGCTCTACCCTCCAACATTAAAACACCGACACCTTGTGCAGCGGTCCACGAGCTACAGACGCTCTACAGGCATACCTAACCCAGCAGACTCTCGTTGTTCTTGTCATGAAGTCGTGTTTCTTTCATGAACATTATCATTTCCTGTGATGATACTCAGATTTCCTCCTTTCACTCATTTCAGTCTGACTTCACCTTCAGGGGAACAGGACGCTCAGCTCACTTTTGGATCGATAAATTAAATTTTAAAAAGCAGTGAAGGTAAAAACTGACTGTGTGTGTATGGTGTGTGTTGTCTCTTCAGCTCTTGTTGCCAGAGTAACCGCTGTAGAAAGGAGGAAGAAAATTGGCACATTTATCATAAATTTACAGCTTTTTAAAACCTTTTAAAAACTCTGCATCTATTTGGAGACTGAACAGCTTGCCTCACCAAATGACATAATTTCAGACCTTTGAAGGCTTTAAACACTCATCGCTCAGTTCACCTAATGGTCACTGAGGAGCTGAAAGCTGGTCATGTGAGGATATTTCAGGCTCCGGTTGCCTAGGTGAACTTCTAACGTGTTTATTCACAGGTCGTATGTCAATCAACAGTGTTTTTCACTCTTATTGGACGTCTCTTGAGTCGCTCCCCGTAAAGTTCATCACTAGCTGGGTATTGACTATCTAAGAGGGAGATAACTTGTGGTGGTGGCATTCTGTTTCAGCCCTACACTTGAAATCAGAGAGCTCTTTAAAACAACCTGTTTATTCAGAAATATAGTGTGATAAATATATATATGCACAACTTTGTAGTATCTAGAATAAAAGCATTTCTACCAGTAAAAGAGGAGAGACTGTGCAGCTGAACACACGCAGCACTCCCTGTCCTTTGTTTTTTATTTTTATTTATCATATAATCATAAAATCCTATCATTATTTTTATTATTTTTTATCAGTAATATAAAAAAAATCCTCCTGCACAGTTACTGTCACGTCAGGCAAAGAGCATCGGCAGGAACATTTAGACCTGATGTTTCCATCTGCAGCACAGAGACAGAGTCAGGCTTCTGTTAATTACATTTAAGACTTTTAATCCCGACTGAGGAACCTCTGAAGACCTGCAGAGACCCCGAAAGAGCTGGGGGCCTGATGAAGCCCCGGAGTTTTTAACTTCACTCTCGGCTTTCATAGTCAGTGTGAGCGGCAGGACATTTAAACACACATACAGGACAGGAACTCACAGGGTTTTAGCTTAAACTCTCACCATCCATTCGGAAAGCTTGAATACTTTGATGTCAGAAGCTGTAAGAAACTGCTGCTGGTGGGAGGGCTCTGTATTTGTTCCCTTGAATTTGAGACATTTTTACATACAAAAACCTCTGAGCTTTTTATATTTCTACTCCTTGGATCTTGTTTGATTCCCTTTTCATGTCCAGCCTGTCCCAGTTTCATCTCCGTGCTTTTTGTCTCCCCAGTTTTGTCCCCGTGCCGTTCTGCTCTCTGTGTTTTTGTGGTTTTCCTGTCTTGGCTATGTCTTTCATCCTGGTATTCATCTCTTTCCTGCGATCGTCACTCTGTGTTTCATCCTTTTATGCCCTTCTAGGTACATCGTGTTCAACTGTGCTCCCAGGGGTGTCTACTCTGTCCTAATGTTCTCGTGGCTATATATTTTCTGCATCTGGTCTTTGTTGTGTCCTCTCTCAGTGTATTTTCTCAGTGACTGTTTTTGCTTTTGTTTTCTTTACCTTTCTGCAAAAAAATAAATCAGTGATTATTCTATCTGTGAATCCTGCATCAGTTTCATTTGCCCCGTATCTTCGCATTCAGGGGCTAAAATAGCCTTCACAATAACTACAGTTATGTGCAGAGTAATCTCTAGTGGGATGAGGTTGAGACGTTTTATTGATTGAAGCAATAAGAGGAGGTAGGAGGAGGTCGGGGTGGATGAAGGGTTTACAGCCATCGTGCACCATGTTTGCTCAACTGAAAAAGAGATGCCAGAAAAAGAAAAGAACCAGAAAACATTTTCATAATGGTTCAGACAGTTTAACCATCAAGATATTAATTATTGACCCAGCACGGTGGCATGAAGGTTAGCACTGTTGCCGCACAGCAAGAAGGTCCTGAGTTCAATTCCACATCAGGCCGGGGTCTTTCTGTGTGGAGTTTGCATGTTCTCTCTGTATTTGCGTGGGTTCCCTCCGGTACTCCGGCTCCCTCCCACCGTCCAAAGACATGCAGCTTGTGGGGATAGGTTAATTGGATAATCCAAATTGCCACTGGGTGTGAATGTGAGTGTGAATGGTTGTCTGTCCCTGTGTGTTAGCCCTGCAACAGACTGGCGACCTGTCCAGGGTGTACCCTGCCTTTCGCCCTATGACAGCTGGGATAGGCTCCAGCGCCCCCCGTGACCCTGAAAAGGATAAGCGGATGGATGGATGAAAAATCTTCAAATCTTGTGAGCCAAAAAATCTACATCAGCCTTATAATTTCTACTTATTTAAGCTATCTGTCTTTGACTTAAATGTTTAACTTCCTGTAATACCATTAATTTTGCTTTGGGATAAATATTTACTGATATTTCACCAACAACACAGAACTACTGTGACATGGAAGAAAAAACATCTATTAGCATGTTTAGGCTGACTTTAAAGCAGAGCATTTCTAATTAAACTGAAATGAAGCTACTTTAATAATTTTCATGATGAAGGTCAGTGTAACACACACACACACACACACACACACACACACACACACACACACACACACACACAGAGCGAGCGAGAGGGAGAGTCGTGTTTTAATATCCTTGTCAGGACATCTAATTGAAATAATAATAATAATAATAACTTTATTTATAAAGTGCTTTCAAATAAAGTGCTAAACAGCTATCTGACGATAAATAAGACAAATTTTAAAAAAATACAGTTAAAACCTGATAAAACAAAGGAGAATAGCAATTAAAACTTTAGCCATAGAATTAAGTCACGAAATAATGCTTTCCCCAGCCGCTAACTAACCATCAAAAATGAATGCTTAACCCTAACCCTCAGCCTAAACCTGACCATAACCTGACTGTAACCTTGACATGAAACCACATTTTGAGTGTCAAATATGCCTTCAGGATTTTGGTCCCCATAAGGTCTGTTGGTTCCCACAAGTACAGTAAACTTCTAATTTTTAGTCCCCACAAAGATATTAATACACGTACACACTCACACACACTCTCAGGCTGTGTGTGTTGAGCATAGATAAAGCACTTCATTTATATCCCCCGCTGGTTGCTGACTGATGGCTGATGGAGCCTGGGGTGGGGGTGGGGGGGTTGTTTCTGCCAGATGGTTTGATTCAGCTCCAAACTATTATCACTGTGACTGAGGGGTCAAAGGTCTACTTTAATGTGAAGCTAATTGCAGCTGTGTTGGGTGAAAGAATGAGGAATCTGTGGATACTGAGGAGGAGTCAGAGGAAATCCTTCCACTCTTCTTCATTCTTCCTCCTCATCGAGTCAGCTCACATCAGCAGAGTGTGAAGCAAAGATATCCACCCACACTGCTGAGCTCACACAGATTTATCACGTTTCTCCATCAGAGAAACAAACCACTGAGAAATCAGAAAGACGTTCCTGAATGAAAACAGCAGAATGAAAACGATCATTTATTTATTTAGATTCATTCCCAAGTGATTACTGGCAACATTTTTATTTAGGCTGCTTTATCCCATAAATATACACTGATTCAGTGTGTGTTTTCATACAGAAACCAGTACATTAATTTTTAAAATATAACACAAGTAATTTACAAAATGTAAATTACAGGTGCATGAAAAGAAAAATCAATTAAATTTTATATAAAGTCGGTAACCATCCAGGTCGTCACAGTCTTGTCTCATCACAGAGGCCTCTTTGGTTCTAAAAGCAGCGTGGATTCCCGTGTGTTTCACCCCCGCTGGGTGGGGGACATCCCCACGGAGGTGGTCCTGAAGATCGTTGACCAACGAATCATCACAAGGTGTGAAAATTTTAACAATAATCTTGATTATGATAAATGCAAACAGATTTTTTTAAGTTAAACAAGCAACTGTAAAACCAAATTTAAACTCTCCCCATCCAAACAAGTCATAGAGACAAAATGATCTTTAAATAAAATAAAATAAAATAAAATAAATTTAAAATAACGAAAATGCTTCTTTTTAATTAAAACAAAAGAATTTACAAAAAGCTGCACAAAGAAAAAAATATATAAATAAAATATATAAATAAAATGAAAAATGTGAGAATTATTAAATGTAAAATACAAAAGATAAAAATAAAATTAATTTCTTTATTTTTGTCTTTAAACAAGTAGAAAAGACAGAAAACAAAGCTGCTCGCCAGTAATCAGACTTCCTGAACAACAGCAGAAAAACACAGCATTAAAAGAAAAACCTTAAAGGACAGAAAAGCAGCTTCTCAGTTTGTCCTCTGCAGCGTTCAGACATTCAGGCCCACGGGCGGCCACTCAACCCTCCAGAGACCCGCCTCTAATAGCCCGCCGCCTGGTTTCACATCGCTGAGCAACACGGCAAGCGGCTGGATGTTAAAACAGGCTGTTCAGCATGTGCACAAACACAGAACAAGAGACCCAAACACTGCAGGAGGCTCGAAACACTTGATGTAAAGGAGCAGAACACTCAAACAGCTCAAATAAATGATCAAGAAAACACCAAACAGCTTCTATAATATGAGGATGTACAAGTAACGGGACAAAATGAAAGACACAAACATGGCCTCTCACAATTATCTGAACATTTATAGATCAGTCAGAGATCTGGGACGACACGCACAGACGTTCATTAATAAATTGGACTGTTGGGAAATCTGGCGGTGCATTCAAGGACACTCCCACATCTAAGATTTAATGTCATAAAATGCAGGAAATAACCAAATCGTTACCGACAACAGCCCATAGAAAAGCATGACAGTGTTTCTGATTCAGTCAAACATGAATCACAGAATAAAAAGCGTTTCCCACTCAGGACAATAAACACCTCCACAGAGAAATGACAGCTCAGCGCTGCAGTGCTACATTTTTTATTATTGTTGTTATTATTAGTAGTAGTATTACGTCACATGAAAGGAGTCGGCCTTCATCTGTTACTTTTGTAATATGACCTTAACCTGCATCAGTTTTACTGACATCATTTGTTTATTAGCATCTCGCCTCTGTCTGTTTTATATTTTGAATATTTTAATATTTTATTTTAAAGTTTCACACTCTCCTTTAAAAAACACATGATTTATGTATGATATTAAATTATTAAGTTAATTTTTTTTAACAGGGCAAATTAAGTATATAATAAATATAAATAAATCTGAAATTATGGAAATACAATAAATATTATTGTATTTATTCACTCTGCAACTCTGTGCAGAGTGAATAAATATTTTTACACGAGTTCCTTAAACAGACGTTTACAAAAAGAGATTAAATTGTTCTTTTATCACTTTATTAAAATGATTCAGTAGATTTAGTTCTTTTCCAACCACAATTAGATCCCCAAAAAACCTGCAAAGAAAAATGAACATATTGTGTTAATGTCACCAAATATTAAATATTCAACACGGAAAGCCTGAGTAGGCGAGGTCACCTGTGTCACCTGCCGTCGTCGGTGATGATGTCACAGCGGCTCGTGTTCCGAAGGCCAGGTTTGGGCCAGGGAGCAGAAATGTGCCCACATCAACGCCGCAGCACCTCGCCGTGTGACCATGGTGATGACATCACCTCTGCGGTTCTCTGGTGGGAAACGCAATCGACTCTATTGTGTTTTTATCCATTTCTACTGTTTCTGTATCAACAGAACAACATTAATTACGCGGTGATGATGGCGGCAGTGACGCTAGTGTGTCTTTAAACTTGTGTTTTCCCACCGGCTGCAGAAACCCGACATATGTTTACAGGAAGCCGGTCGTGTCTGTGCAGGTCTGAGCTGATAAAGCCAGACTGAGGATTATGGTAATAACAGGGTGCCACCGACTGACTGACTATAGAACGGGTGGGCGGGCTGCAGACTCTTATCAGCGTGTTGCAGTGGGCGATTCTTCATGTGGTCACGTGACGGGCGACACCTCGGCTCACAATGCAGCCCCATGAAGAGAAACTGCTCCACGGTTTTATCTCCAAACCAGAGAAAATGACTCAACGCCGCAGCGTGATTGTTTTAAAAATGTGGCATGTTCAAAAGCAAGGACTCAGACATCACATGTGATCGCTGATAATCAGTAATTACATTTTCCTCCGTGGTTATTGTCAGCTTCAGAGGGGGTGCTGTGTTTTTTCAAAAGCCTGCGAAAGTCCCAAAAAAACCAAACTGAGACAAAAATGTAAAGAAAAGAAAGTGAAACAAACATTTTGAGGTAAAAATCAGATTTCGTGCAGTCAGACGAGAATATTTCAGCGGCGTTGTGGAGCTGACGCACCCCGCCATCAACTCATCAGATAAGAACGCCGCTCTGCGGCTCCTTCGGCCGAGCCAGTGACCTTCAGGTGATGGAGGCGGAAACACATTTCCTGGAGCAGACTTTTTTCAGAAGGACAGTTTCTTCTGTTCACAGTGAGATTGCGGAGAGGACGCCTTGTGTTTCCTTTCAGGACGCAGAATGGGATGAAACTGTATGTACAGTTGCCAAGGAGACAGCAGGCAGAGGGGTAGTTAGAGGCTGTTCACCAACACGCCCTCTGTTTTCATTCACGCCGCTTCCCTGCTTCATCTCCAGCAGTCACTTGAGGAGACGCTGGCAGAGCCCGGCACAGGTGAACTTTTCAGAGGAGTACTCCTGTTCGTGGTCCGGTGCTTACTCCATCCAGGAGACAACTTCACTCCAGCAGAGTTCCGAGTTTCTGTTCTGTGTCTTTGCAGAGGGAGCGCTGCTGCAGCTTTAAAGGGACATAATTGAGTGTCAGTGATCACCACATCAGCTAATGCAGGCAATCATCGAGCTTGACCCCCAAACAGAGACACAGATTCCCATCAGCAGCCTCAGCTGTGCGCCCGTCACGCTCCCACGCTCACTTCAATTCTCATTTCTCTTCTGGTTGCAGCTCGCTGGAGCCTGAGCTGAGGAATTATCTGCTGTCAGGACCTGCCCGGGACAGAAGTAGGGGGGGTGAGCCATGCTGTCCGCCGCTATTCAGATCCTGGCGTTCGCCCTGGCACTCCTGGGCGTCCTCGGTGCTGTCGTGGCCACCCTGATGCCCAACTGGAAGGTGAGCATCAACGTGTGGACCAGCATCATGACCCCGATATCGCAGATGCAGGGTCTGTGGATGGATTGCGTGTGGTACAGCTCCGGCGTCTTCAGCTGTACCGTAAAGAACTCGGTGCTGTCGCTGCCGCCGCACCTGCAGGCCGTGCGGACCGGCATGGTCCTGTCCTGCATAGTGGCGCTGTTCGGACTCTGTCTCGCCACTTTGGGGCTCAAATGTACTCGCTGGGGGGGCAGCCACAGAGCAAAGGGGCACACAGCCATCGCTGCGGGGGGCTGCTTCATCCTGGCCAGCCTCCTCTGCCTCGTACCCGCGTCCTGGTTCACCAACGAAGTCATCACTGCCTTCCTGACCACAGACCTACCGGACAGCAGTAAATATCAGCCCGGCGGAGCTCTGTGCGTCACGTTCATCTCTGCTGGATTCCTCCTGGCCGGGGGGGTCATTTTTTGTTTGTCGTGTCCCGGGAAGAGAACGAGACGACCAGATTGCGCTTCCCCCGCCGACCCCGACAGATTCACGCTGCACCCAGATGAGCGGAGGAGGCGGGGGCTGCAAGTAGAACGCAATCAGCCGAAAAACAGAAAGAAGACAGTCCAGCTGCAGGTAGACAGCGTGAAGCTGGAGAAACCCACGCCGCGCAAGAGACAGGAGCATCACTCGTCTCCATCCAAACTCCCTCAAACAGACATCAAGGACAGCTACAGCCTGCAGGAGTACGTCTGAAGCTCACGGCTGTACTGAAACGTGGAGCTGAAGCTGAGGCGCTCTGGCTCGTTTGGAGGGGGAGGTGTGTGTACATGGGAAAATTACCAAATGTTGGAAATTACAGATTGTGGGTTGAGTCGAAAGTCTCAGCAGCAGAGAGAAAAAATCTGCAGACTGTAAATCCTTTAAAAACTGCCTGCCACAGCTTTCTGATACCAAAGGCCTAAAGGCAAAAATGCCGAACCTGCTGACTATGAGAAAAGAAAAAAAAAACAGACATTCAAGCTGTGACTGAAATGGAAAAGCCATCATCTGACTTTATTTTCCAGCTGCAGCTGCAGTCTGCCTTCATACACTCAGCCATGCACTAACAGGGCCAGCCCAAAGCTTTCTGGGGCCGTGACAGGACTTTAAAAGCCAAACCCCCCACCACACACACACCAAACGCTGCATTACACTTCAGAAAGAAATGTTGGCCATACATTTTAATAATACTGTGTAGATGATGTTTATGTGATGTTCAGATACATCATCGGATTGTGAATCTAAAATTTTAAAATAATGTCAAAAAGTTGAAAAAAAAAAACCCTGTTTGTTTGAATCAGCACATCCAGCTGAGGCTGTTAGTTTGGCAGATTTAAACTAAAGCCTGACCTCAGAGTGAGGCTCAAAGTCACCCGTCACTTCATACTGTGAAGTCTAAGTCGTTCATATTGCTGTACATATCACACAAAATGATAATTATTGGTGATCAAACTTAAGAACCATCAACATCAAAATGACATATTTTCCCCCTGTGGTGCTGCATGTTCCTAAAAAACAGAAATAAATCAAAAGATCACACTAACAGTTCAGGATCATCTTATTTTAAAACATGCAGCCGATCAAAAAAAGCTTTAAGCAGTTTCATCACCACAGCAACAGCTCCGCCTGCTTGTCACTGTTTGTTCAGTGTGAATGAAACACGCCGAGTGCTTTCAGATCCATGACATCCACATTTAAAAAACAAGAGTAAGAACAGGATTGGATCATCTGCAGCTAGTTTTCAGTAATATCCGGTAAACAGGCTGATTCCAAATCAGCTGTTTGTTATCACAGAAAAAACACTTTGACAAGTCCAAGTGATTCTATCACTGTTTTTATAATTACTGAGAAAGTAATCACAAGGTGTCTCAAAGGGCTGAACCTTTAGTCACAGAATATTAAAACTGTGGAACATATGAAGGGAATTTTAAAACACCTTAAAACGTCTAAAAACAGCTGAACAAACTTGATGAATTTTGCTACTTTGTATATTTTTGAGGTCCTCGAAGTTCAAACCCAGAAAATCTGTAATTTAATTTAATGTAACTCATTTTATCCACTTCACTCATTTTTACTTGGTTACACAGACACTTCCTCCATGTATATCATGGCATGAAATGCAGCAACAATATTCATTTTAATATTTTGTCAGTAGCATTCTTGCTCATCACTGTGTGTGATAATTGCTTCATACCAGCTGCTAAGCTAATTATGCTAATAAAGCTGACTGTAGCTGTTTTGCTAGATAACAGCACAGCCGTGAACCACAATGAAATCTGCCACAGAACGTTAGCAGCATTAGCAATATTAGCAACAGTCGACTCGCCTAACAAGAAATTAGCAAATAACAGCATGTTAGCTAATGTCACCCATAAAACTTTATTAGAATTCAATGATAAAGTGAATAAAGTGACTAAAAGTCATTGAATGGCATCTTCCATGAGTCTGGTTCTGATTTTGATGGACAATGATTTTTGTTTTGTTTAGTTCCTTCTCTTTTTTCTTCTTTAACACAAGGAGATGGCGAGTTTAAAAAAAATGTATGTCATAGCTCACCCTGCTCATGGTCCATCATAGTTCACAGATTATTGTCTGTAACATCACAAACATCACCTTGGGCACAATTTCTGAAAAGACCCATTAACTGATAACTGTGTGCAAGTTTCATTAAAATCATATCAAAACTGTAGAAGACGTAGGAATCGCTGTGAGTTCTCACTGGTCCTTCGGCCAGATGAGCTAAAGAGCTAAAGTGGTGAGAATAAAATTATTAAACAAAAGTTTATTTTAAAAAACTGTTGCCTAAGTAATATTTTATTTTAGTTTATTTGTATTTTCCATCTAATTATTTGAAACTTTTGAGTTGATTTAATCTGTAATGCACAAAAAAAGCTGCCTTACTTCATGAGAAATATCCTGTGATTCACAGCAAATCTTTCTGGGAGGATTAGCGACACCAGTAAAATAAAGTGTTAAGCACTGCTATAATATCACAGTGTCCAAAAAGAAGAAAATCAGGTGCATAGTTTCATCTGGTCATGTGCCCCCTGCTGGTCAGAGGCTGTGGTTTCAGATTGAGTTCATGCTGTCAGTGATTCAGTTGCTGTTTAAAGTTAGTGAAGGGTGCTGTTGAACAGATTGTGCCTGAAGCAATAAAAACAATGACGAGCTTCTTGATTTCAGTGTGTTTGTAGATTTAAAGTCCAAATCCAAAGCATCTACCCAAAAACATCCACTCCACATTTTCCTGATGTTTTGGGGGGAGGTGAGAGGTGCACAGCAGCATGGAGAGAGGTAATGATGCTCTTTGCTTTCCCATTATCCTCTCACCACGGATGGATGCACACAGCACACAGACCCCCTCCACAGCATCCCATGTCAGCTGAATGAGAAAGACATGAAGTCATTTTCTGGATGTAAATTAAACCCTGACGGAGACTGGAAGCTCCGCAGTCTCATGTGCATTTGGTGGGCGAAGTGTCCTTTAACCTGAGTGAGCTGTCAGTCACATGATCACCCATCAAGGAAAAGAGCACTGAGCTGAACGCCCACGCTGTCAATTTGTCTGCAGAAGCATTTCAGTGTCAAACCCTTGAGGAACAAGTTCATAAAGAAAACATTACACATTCATGAAAAGATCAGAACCCAGCAAACAAAGGCTGAAACAGCAGCGCTTCTCCCTCAGTGCAATCACATTACAACCATATCTGAAAAATGTGGTTGGCTTAGTTAGTGAGGATGATTTGACCTTTAGATAAAGGACAAATATGTGTAAATCCTTAATGTACAGTTCCTGCACTACTAGAACTTGGATAAAACACAACACAAGTCACACCAGGATACTTACTGCTGTATAACTGTAGAGAAAGAGTATACATTTTATTCATTATTTTGAACATGTCAAAGATTTTCAGTTCTCAGTACACCATACAGAACAATAACCAACCTGGGAGTGGGTGTGTTTCTACCACACTGTTAGCATTTCTCTGCACAAAGTACACCAATCTGGGTTATTTTCCGCTTCAGTATCTTCGATATACTATTGCTATGTGATGTATTACTATTACTGAAGGCTGCATTACAACCTACTAGCTGCAATTAATGATGTACAGTTCTGAAAGCAGAAAAAAAACATACTACTGATGCAGAAATCGTTTTCTATACAAGATCACTGCAAAAAGTGCAGCCTTACTAATGGCCACCGTACTGTTACTCATTTTATATTAAGATTTAAAAAACTGCAGAACTGCACATGATTATTTGCAGTTTGTTAATCCTATCCATCAAGTCTAATAGTCCGCAGTCTATGAACTAACCTCAACTAACGTCAGCTAATAAAGTTAGCTCGGTGGCGAGTAGCCTTCAGCAATACTAATAAATCACGCAGCAATAATACATTTATGTAGCTGTAAAAAGCGTGACTATATAAGTAATCCAAAGTATTCAGAGTACGTTACTCACATTGAGTAACATAACGGAATACGTTACAAACTAAATTTTGGGTCATGCATTCTGTAATCTGTAGTGGAATACATTTTAAAAGCAACCTTCCCAACAGTGTCAATGACCTGAAGAGAGCTGGGGCCACAGTAAGGTTATTGGTTTTTAAATCTTTAAATGGTCTGGCTCCTGTGTACTTATCTGACTTGCTGAAGCCACATGTTCCTCCTCGCTCGCTCCGTTCAGCTGAGCAGCTGCTGCTGCCGGTCCCTAAAATGCAGAGGAGACCGTGCCTTTTCAATTGCGGCTCCGATGCTCTGGAATAACCTTCCCCTCCAAATTAGACAAGCGTCATCAGTGCAGGTCTTTAAGTCCAGATTGAAAACCTATTTTTATTCCCTGGCTTTTAACTCTGTAGGAAACTGACACCTTCTTATTTATTTTATTGTATGTAATGATTTTATGGTATTTTTAATTTGGTTGTTGTTTTGATCTGTGTTGTTCAGCACTTTGGTCTGCCTGGTGTGTTCTTAAAGTACTATACAAATAAACAATGATGATGATGATGATGATGATGATGATGATATTAGTAAAACACTACGTTATCATGGACTAAAATCCGGCAGCGCTTGAAAGGTCCCCCTTCTTAAGCCAGCACATGTCCAGTCCTGTCTAAAGTTTGCCAGAGACCATCTGGATGATCCAGTACAGGATTGGGAGAATGTCATGTGGTCAGATGAGACCAAAATAGAAGTCTTTGGTATAAACATTGAAGATGAAACATGGCTGGATCTTCCAGTATGACAATGATCCACGCCGCCTATAGGCAACGAAAGAGTGGCTACATAAAAAGCATTTCAAGGTTCTGGAGAGGCCTAGCCAGTCTCTAGACCTCAATCCAATAGAGAATCTGTGGAGGGAGTTGAAAGTCTGTGTTGCCCAGTGACAGCCCAAAACATCACAGCTCTTGACCAGATCTGCATGAAAGAATGGGTCAAAATACTAGCTATGGTGTGTGTAAACCTGGTGAAGCAATTTTACATTACATATTGAGGTGAACTGTTATTGACCAAATACTTATTTTCTGCACCATTATACAAATAAATTCTTTAAAAATCATCCATCCATCCATCCATCTTCATCCGCTTATCCGAGGTCGGGTCACGGGGGTAGCAGCCTAAGCAAAGAGGTCCAGACCTCCCTCTCCCCAGCCACCTCCTCCAGCTTGTCCGGGGGAATACCAAGGCGTTCCCAGGCCAGCCGAGAGAGAGAGTATGGCGGAGGGCTTTCGCTTTGGTGGCCTCAGAATCTCATCTCTGATTTTTGCGGATGATGTGGTTCTGTTGGCTTCATCGGGTGAGGGCCTCCAGCTCGCACTGGAGCGGTTCGCAGCCGAGTGTGACGCAGCGGGAATGAGGATCAGCACCTCCAAATCTGAGGCCATGGTTCTCAGCCGGAAAAGGGTGGAGTGCCCACTCCGGGTCGGGGATGAGTTCCTGCCCCAAGTGGAGGAGTTCAAGTATCTCGGGGTCTTGTTCGCGAGTGATGGGAGAAGGGAGCCGGAGATCGACAGACGGATTGGGGCTGCGGCTGCAGTAATGCGGACGCTGCACCGGTCCGTCGTGGTGAAGAGGGAGCTGAGTGTAAAAGCGAAGCTCTCAATTTACCGGTCGATCTACGTCCCTACCCTCACCTATGGCCACGAGCTGTGGGTAGTGACCGAAAGAACGAGATCGCGGATACAAGCGGCGGAAATGAGCTTCCTCCGAAGGGTGGCTGGCCTCTCCCTTAGAGATAGGGTGAGAAGTTCGGCCATCCGGGAGGGGCTCAGAGTAGAGCAGCTGCTGCTCCACATCGAAAGGAGCCAGCTGAGGTGGTTCGGGCATCTGCAAGGATGCCCCCTGGGCGCCTCCTGGGCGAGGTGTTCCAGGCATGTCCCACCGGGAGGAGGCCCCGGGGCAGACCCAGGACACGCTGGAGAGATTATATCT